CCTCCAAAAAATTGAACGAGGGGAGTCCGAGGTCTCGTCTCTGCGACTGCCAACTGACTGGATCCATAAAAACCTGAATAAATGCATCGGGTGAGGACTGCTTCAATTGGGTTTATTTTTTTTCCTCATATTTGCTGGGACAGGCTCCGACTGCTAGTGAACTAAAGTTAACTGTCTAAAGAATAGATAATGGGTGTTTTTATTCTTTTTTCACCTTTAAGTGAAGAAAGTAGCTATCTAAAAGGCAGATAGTGGGTATTTTTTTAATTTTTTTCACCTTTAACGAAAGAAAGTATCTAAAAGGCAGATAGTGGGTATTTTAAATCTTTTTTCACCTTTAACGAAATAAAGTAACTAAAAGGTGGGTATTTTTAATCATTTTCACCTTTAACAAAAGAAAGTAACTAAAAGTCAGATAGTGGGTATTTTTAATTATTTTTTTCACCTCCAAGAGAGAAAGTAAAGAAAGTAATTATCGGAAGGTAGTGGTATTTTTGTTCTTTTTTCGTGCCTAAAGAAACAAAGTAACTATCCAGGGAAGATAGTGGGTGCTAAGATTATGCCTTTCAAAAATGGGAATTTATTTTAAGGAAATTGTTTAGTTATTACAGCATACAGAATACTAGTACTGTGTTGTAATTTGGCGCTACCATCACAAGGTGATGGATATGAACTTTTGGATGAATTATTTTTGCATTACTTGTCATTAATAAAGGATGAAATCTTCAATGGGATTCCTTGTGAAATATGATAAATAATTTTCTTAACTGCTTTGTGGTCATTTTTTAGAGAGTTTATTAAAATGTATCCCTCCACCGGCTATACGCAGTGGAGGGATACATGTCCCCCTTTTGCCCCAGCAAAAGGTGCCCCCTCAAACAAACGTCCTGCCCCCTCAAATGAAACTTGCCACAAATAACACAACAGCTCCCTTATGCGAGACTCTGCAGCGCACCCTGCTGGACAGGCTGCGGTCTTCTGTCTGTCTGCACGCAGCCTGCAGCTGAAATCCCTCTAGTAAGCAGCCAATCAGCATTCAGTATTCAAACGAGATCCCGCTCCCTCAAAAAGACCTGCTTGCCAGCAACAGTGACTTTATCTGTCAAGTTGTACAGGAAAGGAGCACAGTGTTTTGCTAACGCTACAAAACAAGCACCAACGTTTCACAGGTCAGTAAAAGGTTTTAATTTTTAAAAAATTTCGAGGGAGTTGGAAGCAGCTCCTTTATGTTAACCTTAACATGTCGTGCTGCGCAGTTCGGTGTGTTTCGGTTCAGTTAAAATAATCAGTTGAGCAGTTTTTTTCCAAGTTAGCTAAACAACCACGATGTGTTCACTGGTAGTAATCACAAAAATAAATTTCAAGCCAGAAAAGCAAACTGTTACAGACTGAATATTCTTTTCTGTGTGTGGGAAACGTTTGCGTTTTTGGCGCTGAATCTTAATGCTTAACGCTACGGATCTGCCTATAAAGCAACGATTCGGTGCATATTTAACGTTCTAAGGTTAAAGGCGTGGAAAAAATTTAAATGGATGTTTTTCACTAATTTTGAATTTCCCTTTATATTTTCACCTTCAGATCACTCAGTCCTACCTGGCACCGCACATGAGCATGGCTGCAAAACTGAGCGGTAAGAAAATGTTTTTGATGCGTTCAGTTTCTAAGCAAAATAACTTACTTTAGACATAATGTTATGCTTGTGAAATATTTTCAAAATATTAATTCAGTTTGATATTGTTGTTGTTTTTAAAGAAGTTTTTGTGAATGTTTGACAGTTGTCATGAAGTGTCATTTTGTAAACAATGAAACTTTTAACGCAAAGTTGCTCTAAAAGTTGCATTAAAAGTGCCAACTTTGCATGATTTTGTAAATTATGATAATTTAATGCAAAGTTGTCATTTTACCCCAATCCCATGAAGATTATATTTATTAACAATGCTAATGTATTAGGGGTTGCACCAACGACTAGTCGATTCTTTACTCTGCAATGACTTTTACAGG